GTGGTGCATGCTTGCAATCTCAGTAGTACTCGGGAGGCTGAGGCAAAAGGATCACTAAGTTTGAGGCCAGCCTGGGTTACATGAGTGAGTTTCCCCTACACTATATAGCAAGACTCTGTCTGCAACAAACAAACAAGCAAACAATAAAAGAGTAGCAAAATGGAGAAATCACATGTTCCAACTTCAAAACTCACTACAAAATTATAATAAATGTTATGGTAGTCTAAGGATATCTATCTATCTATCTATCTATCTATCTATCTATCTATCTATCTATCTGCATCTTTCTTGGAATAGAGTACAGAAATAAATTTTTACACATACAAGTAGTTGGACTTCAGTAAATCACCAAAGAAACAGCTTTTTCAACAAACTGCTCTGCGACAGGTGACTCACCCCATGTAAGAACTGAAGCTGGACTGCCTGTTCTACATTATATACAAAAGCAGCTTAAACCTGATTAAACACTTAAATGAGGAGGTGGAAGAATTTATTTTGGGGGCAATGACAATGGTCTAAAACTGACTGTGATAAAAATGTACCTTTCTATAAATATAGTGAACCACTGAATGACAGACTTCAAAGCAGGCGAATGTGTGAATTGTGTCTCAATACATTATTTCCAGAAGTGGGATGAAAGCCCGGTGTGGCGGAACATGATGTGGTCCCAGCTACCTGGGAGGACAGGACAACGGCACTGCTTGAGCCAACGAGTGTGAGGCCAACAGGGGTAATGTAGTAATACCCCCAGCTCCAAAGAAGAAAAAAGAGTTGAGAGTGGCACATGTCTATAGTCCTCGTAGTCTGGGAAGTTGAGGCAGGAGGATTTCAATTCATGTCCTGTCCTAACTGGGCAATTTAGCAAGACCTTGTCTCAAAATAAAAAAAGATTGGGCCTGTAGTTCAGTGAAATCTTGGGTTTTATCTGAAAAAAAAAAAATGTTGCAGAGATTATACAACTAGGAGGCTGAGGTGGGGTTGTCTGAGTCCAGCCTGGACAAGTTAGGAAGACTTTGCCACAAATAAAGTATTGGGAGGTGTAGTGGACAGTGGAGGCCCTCGGTTCAACCCCCAGGACTGGCAGCAACAACAACAACAACAACAACAACAAAGTAGATAAACATTACTACCCAACTTCTGGAACCAACATTTAGTAACCAAGTCACACAAGAGTGGTACTGGTTAAGGAACAAACAAGTGGGCCAAAGGAACAGAACAGACCTCTAAAATATAGCCCAGCAGCGCTTGACAATGGAGCTAAGGCAACTCAATGGATAAAGGATATTCTTTCCAATCATACAGGTAGGGCAAGGTGTTCTTTTCTGCTAGTGCTAGGGATTGTACTCATGATTTCACTCTGAGCTATGACCCTAGCCCATTCGTTCGTTCGTTCATTCATTCATTCATTCATTCATTCATTCATTCATTCATTCTTCCATCCATCCATTCATTCATTCAGCACAAGGCCTTGCTACATCACCAAGTTGCGCGGGCTGGGCTCTAATTTATGATCCTCCTGCCTCAGTTTCTAAAGCTGTTGGGGTTACAGGTGTGTGCTACCATCATGGCTCTACAAATGAGATTGACAGAATGGATACATTCATGAAAATTAACTGGAAGTTAATTTTTAACTCTAAATCTAAGTGGAGATTACAAAATTTAAAAGTTTAGAGAAGAAAACAAGTGAACACATACAGGACCTTGAATTTGACAATTTTTTTTTCTCCATGTTTTGGGGATTGCAGCCAGGACACAGCGAACGCTGGGTAAGTCCTTTACCACTGAGCTGTATATATTGTTGGCCTTGAGTCTGTAGACAGAATGCCTAAAGCAGGATTCAGGAGAAGTAAAAAATTGATAATTTGTACTTCATTAAATTTTTTTTTTTCAAAAGGCACTACTAAGAGAATGGAAAAATAAGCACCTAGGATAAGAAAGAAAATATTTGTGAAACATACATCTGGTAAAGGATTTGTATCTAAAATATGCAAAGAGTGGGGAGAGAAGTAAGCTGGCATGGGGCACTGGCCTGTAACCCCAGATATGTGGAAGGCTGGGGGAGGGTCATTGTAGCCCAGACTCCGAACTCTGAAGCCAGTCTGGGCAACTCAGGGAGAATGCGGGTTAAAAAACAAAACAAAACAAAACAAAACAAAACAAAACAAAACAAAACACAATTGGGCTGGCCAGATAGCTCAGTAGATTACAGCACTTGCTTAGGCAGATGCAGGGAGCAGGTTTTGTGCCGCCCCCCCCCCACCATGCTTTGAGACATCCATTGAGACTGGGCATGGTGGCACATGCCTGTAATCCCAGCGCTTGGGAGGCTGAAAACAGAAGGATCACACTAAGAGTCTGATCTGTGTAGTGAGACCCTGTAGACCCCGTACTAAGTACATTTAAAAAAAAACAAAAACAAACCAACTCAAAACAAAACAAAAAAAGAGCCTGGGAGATAGCTCAGCAGCGTAAGTGCCTGCCTGGCAAGCACAAGGTCCTGAGTTCGATCCCCAGTTAACTGGGGGAAAAAAGAGGAAAGAGAACAAAATATGCAAAATCCTCTCAAAACTCAGTCAATTAAAACATAGCCAGAGACCTGAACAGCTGCAGCACCAAAGCTGTGCTGCAGCTGGTGACTGTGATCAGCAAGGCTCACCTTCAAGTGCCCCGAGGGAACCGCGAATGACTCTGGGAAGACACTGCTCTGGACAAAGCGAGGGTGCTGGCGGAGGGCGGGCGGAGCCACAGCCCTGCTCCTTCTCTGCTGCTGGAAGCCTGCCCTGATGGACAACTGGGCTTCTCCCCACGCCAAGCACAGCTCCCTCAAGAGCCAGAATTCACATCAAGGGTTGCACTAGGTAGAGTGCATAGCTGGCCCTCAGCGATAAAACACCCAACCCACCAGCCTCTGTGCACGCACACAACACCTGGATAAGCGGGGCGCTGCGCCGCCCAAGAAGCCGAGGCACAAATGATGAGGTTCTCTACGTCTGTCCACCTGGAGGCGGCGTGCGGACCAAGCGCGTCTGGCCTTGAGCTGCCAGCCAGGATGGCCAGGAACGTGCGTCTCCTTGCGCAGACTGGAGTCCTGATCAGACCCACGGCCACCAAAACGACGTCCATTTCATCACACGCTGGGGTGGACTATAGAAATCTGAAGTAACTTTTCAACCACCCAACTGTGGGACATTGTTGTTATTACAATAAATCTGTTGGCATTTGTTAAATCTTTTTTTTTTTACTCAATAATTTTTTTAAGTACCCAGGATTCAAAAGTGGCATGAGAGATTTTCTAGGCCAGACAGATGGATTAAAACTTGTTACCAGATTTGTTACTTTGATTTTTCATTGTAAATATCAGAAACCAAGTCTTATCATAAATATACTGCAACTCTGATCTCCAAGCATGTCAACGATATTTTCTGTGGAGTTAATTTCTGGCCTCCCAGAGTCCCTCCTGACCACAGGTCCCTGGGTAAACAAATTTCGTGTCACCACCAGTTGAGAAGTTGTGTACAAGCATGTGTCTCCGCAGGTGATACAAAACGCGTCGTTTCATCTGCAATATTCCAACTGTTACTAACCCAGTCTTCCTCAAAGTGAGGAAGCAACTTGGGGCCTGTCCACCGGCCCAATCCTATTCAGCAACAAAAACAATCTACTGTTCCAACCAGCAACACAAATCACCTCGGCGACCATTTCCACTATGTTGAGTAACAGGGGTCACACTCCCTCTCCACAGAAAACATGCACAGAAAACACTTAGTGAAAATTTGAGAGAATAATGTAGTTAGAATCAGCTCGTGAGGAAGCAGACAAGGGCAGGAGGCAAGAGACCCTGAAGGACTCCTACGGGAAGCCCAGTATGTGCGCTACTGTCACTGTGGGGCTTCTGCAGGCGTATCAAGGATCATCACCTCACTGAAAAGGTTTAGTTTATGGCCCGCCGTGGCGGCACACACCTGTGATAGCACCAACTGGCAGGCTGAGGCAGGATTGCCACGCCACAAGTTCAAGCCTAGCCTGAATTACACAGCAAGACTCTGTCTCAGAAAATTAGTTTATAGGGCCTAGTATGGTGGCACAGGAGGCTCACCATGAGTTCAAGGCCAGCCTGAGCTACACAGTGAGTTTAAGGCCAGCCTTGTGGCCTTAAACTGCACTGTGAGACCCTGACTCAAAAGCTTACGTCAACTACATCGTTAATCATTTTCAAAAGCCCTTGTGTCTTCACAGACGGGCTTCATGCTGTTTATCCCAATGTTTTGGCAGTGTTACGGATGGAACCCAGAGCTTGGAGCATTCTAGGGAAGCAGTCCACCACTAGGCTACATACCCAGTGCTCTCCCGGCTTCAGATTGTATTCTTTACGAGGTGAGGGAAACCAGTCTTGGCCTGTAATCCTACGCTTCCTTCAAGAAGGTGAAGTTCTGCTTAAATGGTAACAGCACTTCTAAAGATTGCTTTCACGGTGCCAAACACTTCTGCCCTGAGCCCTCTAGAGGGCTAACCATTCCAATACAGCAGCAGGAGGGCTGTCTCAGGGAAGCTCCGCAGCGGGTCCTGCACACAGAAGTGTACTGCCTCCTCAGCTGAGCGGGGCGCTGTCAAAGTATGCCCCAGGGAAGGGGTGTGGTTGGGCCTTGCCACTAGAAGCAATAGGCTCTCACATGTGATGATTGGTCTCATGTCCACAGGAAGCAAGCCTGGGCTGTGTGACCAGACAGGTTGAGAGACCTTAGTAGGAACAAGACCAAGTACTGTGGCTTCAGCATTCTCCCAGTGTGACCAATTTCTATCAGCTGTGTATCTAAGACAACCAGGAGCCAAGAGACTTCACTGTGGACCATGTTCAAGTTAGTGGGAAAAGCAGAGATCAATGCAGAACTTTAGCAGAACAGACCACGATGTGAGAAATGACAGCAAGGTGAACACTTAGGTGATGTTCAGGACAGCCCTGATGTGTTTTAGAAAAGGACACACACTGCTCATGTACAAAACATCTTTGAGTCCTTTATTAACGTCTGGAGATGTGTGGAACACACAATTAACAGCATCACACCAGCTACAGAAGTACAGAGAACCAGAACGTACTTCAGAACAGGATCTCAGGGCAACTTAGGTTGCCTGCTTGGAATCTCCATAAAAATCTAACTCTGATACACGCAGGACAGACAGTGTAACAACTTCACTTGGAAATGATTCTTTAAAAAAGCAACAAGAACTGATTGTTCAAACTCTTTAGTGTGCGACGTGGCAGCCTCTCCTGGTGCTGTGGCACGACTGTGAAGGCCAGCTGGGGCATCTGAAGGTCAGGCAGAACCGACCAGGGCAAGGAGAAGAGGCTTTCTTTCCGTGTAGAGATGACAGGTGGTCCGGGTGGACACTTTCAATCCAGGTTCACCGTGGGTCCTGAAGGAATCCGCCGAGTCTGTAAAGGGAGGCAGAAACACGCCAGGCAGCCCTCCGTGTCCCTGCACATCAGGAGTCACAGGGACACAGGGCAGATTTAACAGGACGTGCCTAAAGGAATCGGGGCTCACTGGGTCGAGTCAGCTCTGATCCGCTTATGCCACCAGATGCCATGGGTCCCTCTGCTTTCACGTGTGAATGAAGGAACACTACTTTTATTTCAATGCTCCTCTGAAAACAACCATAACCTTCCCCCACCCCCACGGTCATTTTTCATAAATTCTCTTTCAAAATTCCTGATTCTTCTTGGTCTAGACTTTTTCTTTTCTCTTCAATTTCGACACTTTTTTGACAGTCCCGTTCTTGTTTAGAAGCTTCAGGACGCGATCCTTATGATCTAAAACCTTAAGCATGGAGTCTCTGGCCTCACTGATTTGATCCATCACCAGCTTGCACCTCTGCATATTTCCCTGGAACAGAAGACACCACAGCATCAGCGAGCTGCCCGAGGCGGCTGTGGCTTGGCAGACGTGCCCTGGGGCAGAGGCAGCGCAAGTCTTCCACACAGAGACGGAGGGCTTTTTGGTAATACTGACTTCTGTCCCTTAGGACTAGGGACGAGTCCTGGGCCTCACCACACACCAGGCAAGTGCTCTGCACTGAGCTACATCCTTAGCCCTGTAAAAACTATTTCGAGACAGGGCCTCACTGCACTGCCAGGCTGGCCTGACTTGTGCTCTGACCGGCTTGGCTGCCTGGACAGCTGTGACTCCAGGAGTTGCCCGGCTGTAACGTAAGATTCCGTGGAAGACACTAGTGGGTGAGGGAGGGGACTGGGAGGAGTGGGCTTCTCTCGTAATGACCCAAGTGTGTGATCAGAGGGGAGAGGGCTCATCAAACCTGTATTAGTTCATTTATCCGGTGCAGATCATCATCAGTCGCCGCTTTTTTCTTTGGGATTATTCCTTCCTGCAGGTTGGTAAGCCTTTCATAAACGTCATGCTCCAGATTTGTCTGCAACACAGCAGAAGGAGCATATCATGACTCAGCGACTTTGGACGACGTCAGCCTCAAGCAAAGGAACCCACCCTGCGTCCATGTTTCCAACTAGTGTAAGAGTGTTTATGTGATTAAAGTCCTTTCTCTACAGGACTAAACTAGTAAGATTAACAAATTGATCAATAATTTGTTATTGATTTGCACTTTATTGTGACATTATTCAGAATCATCTTAAAGGTAACATTTATTTATTTATTTATTTTTTCTCCCCCCCCCCCAAAGGTAACTTTTAAATAGCATGTTGCACTGAATTCACAAACTTTATCAGTTTTGAGAAACATGATTTTTTTTAATAAGTAAAAAGCCAAGGAACTTATTTTTCTAGACACCAACGGCAGACTGTTTTTGAGATCACTCTACTCGAAGCACGGGAAAGCTCCATGAGGTGCTGCCTTCACTGCATCCCACTGGGGGAAGAACAGAGTCCTACCCGAGGCCCTTGGCAGTGGTGAACACAGGCTCCGCCGCTGGCCAGATGCAACTGCCGGATGCACTAAGGCCTAGGGGAGGCCAGGCAGGGGCATAGGAGTTGCGCTCAGGACTGGAGTGAAAAGGAGCAGCTGTGGGAAGCAGGGTTCATAGCATCAAGAGAAGGGGAGCTTGTGCTCCCCAAGGGAAGTGCCTGGCTCGACCAGTATCAGCTGAGCTGGCAGAGAGCTGAAGCTCGCTGCTCAGTGACAAGCAGGACCTGCGCGTGGCCGCATGATGAGGGCAGCTGCTGGGGGCAGGGTCTTGCCAGAGCAACAGAGTGGGCAGGAGGGAACTCTGGGTAGGCCTTTAGGGGCTTCCGCTGTTTCAGATGTTACTAAACTTCAAATCTTCGTCTCTTTTTTTTTTTTTTTTTTACCTAAGGTTTCACTTTGCAGTTCAGGCTGGCCTTGAACTCATTTTGTAGCCCAGGCTGGTCTTGAACTTGCAGTGGTCCTCTTGCCTCAGCCTCCCAAGTGCTGGGATTACAGGCATGTGCCACCACGCCTGGCTGAATACCAAATCTTAATTTTAGGCTTCCCACCCTAGCTGTTCTATCCATTTTAGATCTAAGATCTAATTTTTATTTTATTTTAGTTTTTTTTGAGACAGAGTATTCTTATGTAGTTCAGGCTACCCTTGAACTCACTTTGTAGCCTAGGCTGGTCTTGAACTTACAATGATTCTCCAGTCTCAGCCTCCTGAGTGCTGGGATTATAGGCTTATGCCATCATACCTGGCTAGATCTATGATTTAAATTACAACCACAATTAAATGATACAGTAGTTTTAGATTTTTTTTTTTCTTTTTTTGGTGGTGGGGGTGGGGTGGTGGGATTACTGGGAATCAAACTCAGGACTTGTGCTTGCTAGGTAGGCACCTGTGCCATTGAGCTGTCCACAACCATAACACAGCAGTTTTCATACATACAGCAATACACAGAAAACCTACCATGACTCATGTTAGCAGGGAACGCTCAGCCTTACTCAGAAGACGACGTTCTGAGAAGCCGAGCTCTCCAGCCCCCCTGGAGCTGTACCTACCAGCTGCAGTAACTGGGCGGCACAGAGGTGGACTTTCCAGCCCTGGGCACGGCAGGACACGCCTTTCTGGTTAGCTATTTCCTGCAGCATAGCTTTCTTCTCCTCTGGAATTATGTGAAAACAGGTACGTTTCAATTTTTATTCAGCTAAAACAACTGTGTTCAAGCAGCCTTATTGTCACAATTTTACCAAGATTTCTTTACATAAATGTCTTTAAATGATTTCTCTACATCTAAATCAATAGGAAAAGGGTTTAACAGCATGAATAAAAACTTCTGTTCACTCCAAAAGGAAGTCTGAAAATACACTGCTATTAGTCTGGTGAGCTAAAGAGATGAAGTTACTATTCTAATCTCTTAAAAGGGGGGATGGTCTTGCGTCATTCAGACTTGCTCTACATGTGATGCTTAGAAGGATATGGAGGGTGGGACATGGATTCTGGAAGCTTTTTGGTGTTATCTACAGCTAAAATTCCATGAATCAAGTCAGAATTATATTTCAAATTTGGGAGAAAAGTCCAGGGACCAGCAGTATAATAAAGTAAATAAAAATGTTACCAAACCTAGAATTGAGACAGGCCGGCCAAATAGCTCAGCAGATTAAAGCACCTAAGGTTCAGTCCCCAGGCCTGCTGTGCCAGCCTTGCCCCTGGGCACACTGAGATGGCAATTGAGACTGGGCATGGTGGTGTGCGCCTGTAATCCCAGCTCTTGCGAGACTGTACACAGGAGAATCACTATGAGTCTGATCTAGAGTGAGACCCTGAACACCCTGTAGACCCTTCCCTAAAATACAGAAAAAAAAATCTAGAATTGAGGGATGTTGAACAAAATGAGTTTTGTTCTGGTTATAAGGTTTTTTTCTGCAGCACTGGACCGCATGCACGCTAGGCAAGCACCATAGCACTGAGCTACCTCACCAGCCCTTTCTAGTTTTATTTTGAGACAGGCTCCTGCTAAGTGTCCAGACTGCTCAATCTGTGACCCTCCTGCCCGCCCTCTGGCACCAGGGTGAACAGGTATGCACCAATGAACCCAGGTTTAGTCACCTTTTAACTGGGATTTAAGATACTCACATGTAACATAGTTAACAATTACTTTAAATTAGTAATAAAAACCCCAACAGATATGTTCATTTGCCCGAAGTCACAAGTGCCATGAACAGCAAGCCCTACTGGACGCGGCGGACTCTCAGTGCTAGTGATGTGTCAATGCAGTTGTTAACAACTTTAACAAATGTCTCATGTGTGCTGTAAGATGTCCCCATGGAGGGCAGGTTGTAGATGGGAACTCTCTATTTTTCTCTTTAGTTTTGCTGTAAATCTAACACTGACCCCCCAATAAAATAATACATTTAAACCCCCCATGTCATTGACAGATATTAAAAATATTAGTATGAATACGACTTAAAGTTTTCAGCACCTTGAAATAACTGAAGATTTGCATGCAGTAGTAAGAATAAAACAGACAAAAGTGGTGTGGTGGTACATACTTAGCCTCCCATACTCGAGAGGCTGAAAGGAGGAGTTGAGGCCCAGCCTGGTCGCTTAGTGACCATCAAGTCTGCCTCAAAATAAAAGAGGCTAGTGAGGAAGTTCAGTGTGAAGGCCCTGGGTCAGGTCCCCAGTGCCCTGGCTCCACAAGGGAAGCCCGGTGTGTGTGTAGTCCCAGCGTCCTATGGGGCTGAGGCTCCAGCTCAGGTGAAGGCCCTGGGCTTCAGTCTCTAGAAATGCATAGAGATGGGTGGGCAGACAGGGAACAGGGACCGTGTGTACCTACATCTAGCACCCCGCCTCTATGGTATGATACAAGCATCACAGTGCCGGAGGCCCCCACCCTTACGCAGGTTCACACCTACACACACTTACATACTTTATGTACTTGTGTATTTCACTGTAAGTCTGAAAACTTTTTTCTGGAGGCTGGGCATGGTGATGCATACCGGTAATTCTGGCACTCAGGAGGCAGAGGCAGAAGGATGGGCCTGAGTTCAAGGTCAGCCTGGGCTACATAGTAAGACCTTATCTCAAAAAAAAAAAAAAAAAAAAAAAAGGTGAAGTTCTGGATTGAAGTCATGCTGTCCTTTCCCTGGGACTGACCCCAGGCTGCTCCTTGTGGCTGGTGTGGAGTGCTCCGCTGCACTTCCATGATGCTGCTGGTCTGCCTTGCAGGGTGGCTCAGCACCACAGGCGCGAAGACTCAGGAGTCTACTGACACTGTGAGGTGCACCAGTGCACACTAACAGCCCCCAAGGAGGCCTGGGAAGGGCCTGTGGGCAAACGGCAGATGAAGCAACACCTACTTAGGAAAATGTACTAAAAACTGTTAAGAAAGATGAGGTCTGTAGCATTTGAACCTGACTGCTCTGTTTCTGCCCTCCTGGCTCAGTTAAATCCTGAGGGCCAGTGCCACGGGCTGCCTTTCCGGCACCAGCAGGAACCCGTGTAGTCCAGCCTGGCCCGGTGACCTACAGCTAAGTGATGTCTGGGGAACATAATGAAATACAGGCTCTCCGCCCGCTCCTGCTCAAGGCCTGCTTCCTGAGGCCAGATGCTTCTCCCGGCTTGTGAGGAAGTACGAGCGGGCTGCTCACCTGCTGCAGGCCACGGTGCGATCTGCCCAGCCGGACTGCCTCTCCCAACTGCACTGTGCTACCTCACTGTGTCTCCATCCACACTTCCCTAGCAGCTATGATGCTGCACATTTGTGTGTGTGTGACCTGGGGACTGAACCCAGAGCCTCACACATATATGAGTAAAATATATCCCTAGCCCTGTTCATTTTTTTTCTATAAGGGTGCAGAACCTAACGTGTGTGTGTATTTAGATAAGTCCATGAACAGACAATAAATGACACAGTGTTATATACTTAACAAATATTTGTCAGGTATCTAGTGTATTTTTGCTATTGATACCAAGAATCGCACTCACAATCTTGTGCTTGCCAGGCAGGTGCTGTGCCACTGAGACAGATCTCTGTTTTTGTTTTTTTTTTGGAGACAGAGTCTTGCTACATAGTTCAGTTCAATCTGGGGTTGAATTCATTATGCAGCTCAAGCTGGTCTCGAACTTGTGGTGATCCTCATGCCTTAGCCTCCTGAATGCTGGGACCACAGGTAATGCACCACTATGCCTAGCTGAATATTCATTTATTTTCAAAATAACTTCCATTGTCATGTTCTGTTTTAGGATGCCCCACACTCTATTTACATTTACTTGTCACTGCCGCTTTAGATTACTTTGGCTGTGGCCACTTCTCAGCCTTTCCTGTCAGGGTTTCTTCCGATCCTTAGAGCTCTGAAGAGTAACAGTCCATATTGTGTTTGACATTCCTTGATTAAAGTTCATGTTGATTTCAAGAGGAGAGGAAGGAGAAGAAGAAGAGGAAGAAGAGACACCCCACTCCCACGTTTTCCTCAGGATTAAGACTAGGGTTATGGGTGTGTGGCAGTGAGCTGAACCTACAGCCTTGTGCCCAACAAAAAACAGGTTGACAGCATTTGAAACAGATCAATCTACCCTGAGTGGTGCAGACCCTTTTCCTACATAATACAGAATACTACTTGCATAGCGATCTGTATTATTACTTACTATAAGTAAGCTAGTAAACCAAAGACGACACAGAACACAGGAGGATGTGCATGGGCTAGCCGCGAATACCATGGCATTTCGCAGAAAGGACAAAGCCTCTATGAGTTTGTGTATGTGTGCAGAGTGGGAACCAACTCCTCCTGTACATCGGAGGCCAGCTGTGCACTGTGACGTCGAACAGCTGGGAGTGCAGCCACTGCACTTGACAGAGCCTGAGCTGTCAGCACTGTCCTGCACAGTCACTGACATGCAACAGTACCCACCCAAACTGGACCAACCAGAAGCCTCTAAGAGCAGTGTCCAAGCTGAATTTACATGGAAGTATGGCCAGTTCTTTGGAAACTCACAGTACTTTGGGTACAGACTGTATTTAAAATGAAAGACACCAAATCCATTCAGAGAAATAGAAAGCAAATTTCTGCAAGGTGTTATCAACCATTTTCTTTATATGTAGGCTTATAAAATGTTATCTCATGTTCAACGATATGTTTACTGAGCACCATTTCAAGAACTTCATATACGTTAAAAATAAAGTCTTTGGGACAGAAGTGCTTATGACGTGTGTACAGTTTAGCATCTTACGAGTAACAATCTAGCGCAGCTCTCCTGCAATCACTCAGGATGAAGGTCGTGTTGTAAGCACATGTGGATATTTACTCCAAGGCTGCAGCCTTCAATTATTCACTAGACTCAGATTCCAACAAATACACATAGGCAAAGGTACTTCTCCAAATTTTATATTCAAAAGGATTTAAAAAAAAAAAATGTATTTGATACAGGGTCTCACTATGCAGCTCAGACTCAGTGATCTTCCTGTTTTCAGCCTCCCCAGTGCTGGGATTACAGGTGTGCACCCCCACACCGGGTCTGGGTGGCCTCCTGCCCAGGGGGCGGGGCTGGTGTGGCATGTGGTGCCAGGGATCAAACCCTGGTCCCTGCACTTGCCTAAGCAGGCGCTTAGTCTGCTGAGCTATCTTGCTGGCCCTCAAAAGGATATTTTACTGAAGTTAAACCACCCTAAGACTTTAAAACAAAAATTACGATCCTTCCTTTTTCCTTTCCTTCCCTCCTCACTTCCTTTTTGCCATGGTGGAGACTGAACTCCAGGCCTGTCACAGGCTGGGAAGGTGCTCTGTCACTGAGCTACACTTATAATTCCTGCTTTCCTTTTCTGCTCTGATCATCATACTGCCCAGGGTACATAATTTCATGTGTTAATACTGGACACTAACCTTTGACACGGACGTCACTATACCTCTGAAAGTGGTGGTAGGCAGCTTTCCAAGGGTTCCGGTAGTGACGAAGCAAAGTAATGGGAGGTCTTGGACGAACTGGCACATACCTCACACCTTCTTCATCTATTCAAAGGGCAAAAGAGAAGGCATTAAATACCCTACTGCATTTTCCCAGCAACCCATGATGTTCAATTTCAACATGAAAGCTGTAAATAAAATGAACTAGGCAACACCTCTGGGTGTCTCCAGGCTGCAGGGAGGTGGCAGGTGGCACCACCTAGCCTAGAAGACATTACCAATGTACTCCTTGGGCGGGGACTTGCGCTTCTCGGCCTTCACCAGCAGACTCTTGGCAGTGGATTTCTCGTCATCAGTGCTGTTTGTCTCCATCATGTCCCCTTCTTCTGTTGAGATCACATGCTGCTGTTTTCGAGGCTTCTTCCTCGGGGAGGCACCGGGTGGCAGGTCACTTGGAGGCATGGACAGGTTGTTTGCCAGCAATGCGAGAGATGGAGACACAGTATTGGTGGCCAGCGGAGGAACTGCTATCAGGGGACACAGAGCACAGACACCTCTGAGAACCTGGGCAGAACGGGAGCTTCACTCGACTGCCAGCAACAAGCAAGAGGCAGACGGTACAGACAGACATCACTCTGGCTGAGGCAGAGGCTGTCAAAGCTTCTTAATGCTCCACAGTGTCATCATGCTTAGTTCTCAGGTCCTCACTTCGGTATGTCCATGTCACTCAACTGAAAGAATGTATTACTTAGCCTTTGTTACAGGTGCGCTCAGATAAAATGGAAGGAGTGTTTTGTAGCACTTTTAGAGAGTTTCCTCAGTTGCAAGCCAGGTGATGTGGTACACACCTGTACTTCAGCAATGAGGGAGGCTGAGTCAGGAGGATCGCAAATTCACAAGACTCTGTCTTAAAAGATGAAAAGGGCTGGAGATGTAGCTCAGTGACAGAGCTTTCTTGAGTCTGATCCCCAAAAACCTCCCCTCAATCCAAAAACATAAAATAAAAGAGAAAGATGTCATCTTCTATTCTGTTATGTTTTTCGTCTAGGTGTCCCCCCAAAGCTTCATGCAGTCATGGGGTGCTTTCTAGAGTTTGTGATTAATTCATGATCCAAAGCTGGGACTATGGGTGTGAGTGCTGTTCCTGTCCCGGGTGTGGATCTGCCTTTCCATGTAAGGAGGGGAGAGGCCTGCCTCTGCTGCAGCAGCTGCCGCCCCTCCCTTTGCTATGGATTACTGCCTCTGCCATGTGCCGCTCTGCCTTAGAGCCAGCTGAGTATGGACTGAAACCTCCACTAACTGTGGGCTAAATAAGCCTCACCTTCCTTCATTTTGGGCGTCAGGTGTTTAGTTCCAGCAATGACCCGAGACAGGTATGTACTTGTCCCCTTTATTCTGGCCAGGGAGTGGTAGACTGGAATTCATTTGCTAGATTCCAGTAACTTTTCCCTGCAGTTACAAATATACTCTTCCAGACCATGATGAGGCTGGCAGAATGGGCTAGACGGGGAGGCGCTAGATTCCTAATGATCTGATAAAAGTCCACCTAGGGCTCGCTTTGAGGGAGACAAACCCTTACAGATGTAAGCCTCTAGTCTTTTGGACTTTAAACAAATTCTTAGCAGGTAAGCAATTAACTGACACTCGTAAAGAAAAGCAATCAGAGTAAGCACAAAACTGTTCTCTTCCGGGACAGCTAAGCTAGACTGTCCACCTGATGAGCTTGGGAACCACTTCCAGCAACCATGCGCACACGCTGCAGTAGGCACGCGGAGCCCTTTCCGTCTGCATACATGCTCAGTCGCTGTGTTTTTTTTTTTTTTTTTTAATGAACTAAAACCTTAGTATTCAGGTTTTAACTGCAGTGTTGGCACTTTGCAATAACTAACTAGGTTTTGGGTTGCAGTCTGGGCCACGTCTCTGAAAGGCTTGTCATTGCTGCCTTAGTGGATTAGTAAAGCACATTTTCTGGATGTGTCTTGGTGGATTACAGAAGCGCAACCGCGGCTTTGGTTTCTGGTCCCTGTTCCCCTGCTCTGCTTAAGAAAGCAGCTTTGCTCTGCCACCTGATTCCACTTTGGATCCATCTGACCATGGACTGAATTATGTTCAAATCATGGCCAAATTAAACCTCTCCTCCTTTTAAATTGTAGGTGTCATGTACTGTATCCCAGTAATAGGAAGGCTGATCAATACATCCCCCAATTCTCAGATATGTGGCAAGCCAGGTATGGTGGTGCACACCTGTAATCCCAGCACTCAGGAGGTTGAGGCAGGAGATTGTCATGTGCTCAAGGCCAGTCTGAGCTACATAGTAAGGTCCTATTAAAACAAAACAAACAAACAAACAAATAATAGATATGTGGCACAAGTCGCACACATGTGAAGTGGCAGAGTCAGGAGGTAGCAGAAGCAGCCTAGCTTCAGAGTGCACTACTAAGTGTAACAGTGTACTATGTTCAGCTAAAAAGCACGCAGAGGGGATGTAAACTCCTAGTTTGCTAGGACCACACTTCTGGGACTTACAAGTCACGCGGAAGGGTCACCCGAGCTCTTGTTTCTATTTCGTCACGCTGTCTGCCTGTCCTTTTCCTCCACTCACCGTAGCGGCTCACCCGCTACCCAGACACTGGTAAATCCTCTTAGCGACCAGGGCCAGGCTGCAGCCCAGGGGCCACTCATCTATCACAAAGTGTTATCACTACGATTAAACCTGAACACTGAGGCGCAGTTTAGAAAAAAAACAACCGTGTATCAACATCCTTTGTCTTAAAACAACACGTGCCATAGGTTCACACTACCGCCCTTCACTGTCATCAACAATATTATAATTGGTCTCACATCCACCTCAATTTCTAGCCCCTAAATCTTTAGCCTGAACCAACTGTGTAGGTCACTCCTGTTAGTTCCTAACTTCCAACAACCCTGGACCACACCAGAGACTCCTGCCCATCCATCTTCCCACTTTTCTGCTGTCAATTATCCCTTTCATGGCCATTCTCTCTCACTGGCAGACTCAAACCCCACATAGACTCAATTTATCCCTTGCTCGTCCCCTTCTTGCTTTGCTAACCTCAGCAAAACTCTCCAGGGGGCCCACATGGATGCACTAACGGTGGCTACAGTGAGCGCATGGCAACACCAGCTCTTTTCACTTGGGAATCCCACCCAGTTTGCCAGGCCCATTTCCTCCTCCGAAGATTGTTTTACACCTTCTCAACTGCGCTTCCCTAGGCTGTACCCCACCAATCAGGAGGCTACGGCCATGAGGCCCTCCCAGCGAGGCCCCCCTGCTTGGTGGCCATTACTCTCTCCTCTCTCTTCCTCTCGAAAAGGTCAGCCCCTCCAGGAAAACAATGATGGAGTCTCCTCCTCCTCAGACACAGTCCCAGGAAGTAGCTCGCTTTCTCTTATATCATCAGTTCTTCCCTTTCTAATGAATCACTTCCATTAATATGCAAAACTCTTGTCTCAAACAAAACAAAAGCAAAAATGAGACAGCCAAAGGCCAGGGATGTAGTTCTAGTGGAAAGCCCAAGAGCCCTAGGCCTACAAAAAGACAAGAACAAACTTCTTGACCTCTTGTCAGTTGCTACCCTTTTCTCTATCCCTTTATAGTGAATTTCTCAAAAGTGTTTTTTGTACAAGTTTCTATTTCTCTCCTAGCACTCCCTCCCCTCCCATGTTATTTAAAAAAATATTTTAAAATCATCTACCTACCTACCTACCTACCTTACCTACCTTACCTACCTACCTAAGCTACCTACCTTCCTACCTGTCTACCTGTCTACCTACCTACCAACCAACCAACCAACCAACCAACCAACCAACCAACCTGGTGCAGGGTCTTGCTATGCAGCTCAGACTCATAATGATCCTTTTGTCTCAGCCTCCGCAGTGTTGGGGTTACAGGCGTGCACCAACACGGCTGGTTTTGGTGGCTGCCTTGGTATGCCAGCATGGCATGGGTTACCTGGGATTGACTCTGGGTCCCTGTGCTTGCCAGGCAAGCACTTAGACCACTGAGCCCAGACTCCCCTCACATTTTAAATACTCTGTATTAGCTACCTGGTAGCTGAACATAATACCCCACAGCCACAACTCATAGGAGGAGAGCTTCATTTTTTTTTTTTTTTTTTTAATTTATGTATTTTGTATAGGGTCTTACTACATAGCTCGGACTTGTAGTGATCTTGTTTTCAGCCTCCCCAGAGCTGGGATTACAGGTGTGCGCCTCCACGCCCAGAATGTGGCTCAGGGCCAGTGCGGCATGTGGTACTGGGGATCGAGCCCTAATCCCTGTGTTTGTCTAAGCAGGCGCTTAGTCCACTGAGCTATGTCGCTGGCAGACACAGACCCCAAAGTCACATCTCCATGGCCCACCCAGAATGATGTACCATCCATCGCCTGGGCCGACCTTGAGGGCTCTCACTTTCTCCTGAACTTGCTTCCCATTGAGCTTTATTCTTCGTATTATACAGCAGCTGTATAATATGAGCCTATGGCAAGAGGATCAGGTTAGAGCCCAGCCTAGGCAACTTAGTGAGACTCACTATGAAAAATGGTTATGGATGTTGCTCAGTGCAAAGGTACTTGGTTCCATCTCAGGTAGGGCTGAACTTAACTGAACCAATCCGAACCAAACCAAACCGAACCAAACCAACCTCCAAAATCTCAGCTGCAACTTAAAAACACATCAAAGGGCTGGGGTGTAGCTCAGTGATGGGGTGCTGTTTAGCTGGGTATGAAGCTCAGCACAAGGGAAAAAGCGTAGAATCCACCTACCCCATCCACTGGTACCACCTCAGCTGAAGCCTCACTGTTCTCCGCAGTCAGTGTAACAGGCTCACGACACGTGTTCCAGCTTCCTTCTGTGCTCGCCCTGCAGCCAGTGTGCTGTGCTTACGACCACTAAGCTCCTGGCACTACTGTGTTCACACGCTTCAACAGCTTGCCCCGACTGCGCAGAGCCCAAGTCCCTTCTTGGGTGAGGCTCTGTGAGCGCTGCCCCCACTGCCAATGGAGCCCTCAGGCCCCCTCAACACCAAGTCTTTCTCATTTGCTGCTCTTTCTCTTTAGGCCAGAAGTGCTTCTTTTCCAGACAGATTTCAGTGTCATTTCATTCATGAGGCCCTTAATACCATTTTTTTTTTTAAACAGTTCCAGCTTCAAACCTAACTTTTCCTGTACAGTACCTTAGCCCTTTTTCTTTCACCAGAGGACTTAACATCTAAATAGATAAACAGACACACACGCATGCATGTGTGCACGCACCCCCAACTGCTTTATTATTTCACTCTTTGTCTCCCTTGCTAGAAAGCATGGTATCAAAGGTAGAGAGATGTGCTTATTTTATACAAGGCTGTACCATCAGCATGACAACGATTTCTGCGTAGAGGTTAGAGTACTCAGCTTCCTGGCACACACAGGTAAGGGGGACTTTCTATTTTTTTTGGCAGGCTCAGCCCACCCTGAGGGCAGGGCTGGTGTAGCATGTGGTGCCAGGGATCGAACTGCCGTCCCCTGCGCCTGCCTAAGCTTGCCTGAGCAGGCACTTGAGACTGCTGAGCTATCTCGCCGGCCCCAGAGTGGACTTTCTAAATGAGAGAACTTGACAAGTAGCAGAGCAGAAGACACTTCAGTTCCCTTCTGGTAACGCGAGGCATCTTCCCAAGTGCCAGGCTTTCTAAACCCACGGAAGGATACAGTCATAGCGTAATAAATACAAGTAACAAAACTTCCCCTCTCAACCAGTGAGAAATGGAGGCCCTTACATAAAAATGGCAGGTAGCACCTGGTTCCTGGAGCACACAGCAACTGGATTTCCTGTAGACCCTGAGTCTGTTGTTATCCCATAAATTTTGACATTGTGCTACTTTTCTGGTTGGGAGAAACAAAACCCCACAATACCCTTTTTTGTAACCCAAAACTAATTTATCAGGGCTGGCCTGATAGCTCAGTGGACTAAAGTGCCTGCTTAGGCAGAGCGCAGTGGCCAGGGTTAATCCCCAGGTGCCATGCTGGCCCTTTCCCCGAGGCGCACTGAGCATGGTGGTGCGTGCCTTTAATCCCAACACTTGGGAGGCTGAAGACAGGAGGAGCACTACGAGTCCGATCTACACAGTGAGACCCTGTAGACCCTGTCCTAAATAAAGAAAACAACAAAACAAAACACTAATTTATAAAACAACAACAACAAAAAAAACCTCTCTGAAGTTACTTGATGTTTAACAAACTGAAAATTTGTAGCTGAAGGGAAGGAGACATGATAAATAGCTTTGGGATTTGACCAGTTACATAATTTGTCAAGACAGTATTTTAAAACTATTACTTTTACTTTATTTATTTTTTAAAATTTTTTTTATTTTTATTTTTGGCAGAATCAGGGATTGAACTCAGGCCCTTGTGCTTACCAGGGAAGTGCTTATTCCACTGAGCCATCTCCCTGGCCCAACTTTTACTTTATTGTATAAGAAAATTTGACAAGGAGCAAACTATAAACCTTACTTTATACTTTTCCCCTCTAATTTTAGCATGTTATAAAAATCTAAGCCAGGCATGGTGGTGCCAGCCTGTAATCCAAGCACTCAAAGGCTGAGGTGGGAACATCAATGTAATGTGAGTTTGAGGCCAGCCTGGGCTACACACAGCTAGACCCTACTCCCCTCAAAAAAGTCTAAACACCATTATGGACAATTATTTTGCCAAGAGAATACTGGGTTTTACAGTGGCATCTTTGTACGTGCATGGAACATAATCTGATCCTAGCACCCTCCTTCACAGTTCCGTGCCCTCTACCCACCCTCCCCCCATCTTCTTCCCCTCCCTCTATAGTCTCCCTCGTAGCTTCACATCCTCTTTATTTCCTTCTAGATTTCCAAAGAGTAACAGTACTTAGCTATGGTCATTCTTGACCCCTCTTTTGAAGGAATATTCTCTCTCCTTCTTTTTGGGTGTTGCTAGGGATTAAACCCATGGCCTTCACACTGAGCTACATTCCCAGCCCTTTTTACTTATTAGCTTTTAAATTTTGAGAAAGGGTCTTACTAAGTCACTAAACTGCCCAGGTTGGGCTTGAACTTACAAGTTGCCTACCTCAGCCTCTCCTATGCAAGGATTACAATGGTATGCCACCACACCTGGCTGTAATATTTCTTTTTTTTGGGGGGGGGCTGTAATATTTCTATATTAAAGAAAAGATACACAAGAGGAAATATTATTTTCATGATTTTGATTAGAAATTATAATTAATGATAAAAGGGAAAAGAAAATGGTCGTAGTATCCAAAAGGATTGCCTTCCATTTATTAAAATTAAGTGAAATGTAATATTTAAAATGGGACACCAAGGAGTTACATGTCCTCGTTTGTGGTCACACGAAAAAGAGGTGAACTCTAGAGCACAGAGTGAGGATGCAGGACAGAAGTAACTGTCAAGGGAGAGTATCCTGTGAATGAACTTACCAGAAACTGGCCTCATGATGTCCATTGGCTCTACTTCCTCTTTTACTTTGATTTCAGGTACAGGAGGCCCTATGACAGAGGAGAGGCTGCCACCCACAGTGACTGTTGGTGGTGGTGCAGCTGCAATAGTAGTGATGGGTGGAGTGATGGCGACTGCTCCAGGAATGGTTGAGAGCGCAACAGCTGGCTGTGAGGGGGGACTGGCGGCGGCAATCATGGTTGGAATGGTTGGTGGAGGCTGCTGGGCAGTGGGAGGGACCGCAATGGTAGGCTGATCATTATTTTGATTCGATACGGTCTCCATGGACACAGTGACTGGAGTGGCCATAGACACGTGGACTTCAGATTTAGGTTTGGCACTGAAACATTAAAAAAAGCACATAAAGCAAATGAGAGAAAAACCACCTTAGGCTGCAACATCTTGGAGGATGGGTATTTGCCTCATTCTTTGTATAGCATAGAGCAAAAATGACACTCTGTTCTTCGATTCTAAGCCTGAAGGTCATTTTTAAAGGGAATTCAGGTATGTACTTATTCATGGTGCTAGGTATGGAACCCAGGGCCTTGTGCATGTTAAGGATAGGTTCTACCACTGAGCTACATATCTAGCCTGGAATCCATGTTTCTAAAAGATCCTATGTAATGCCACCCGATTATGTTTTTATAAATAGCAATTCAATTAACATAGAAAACTTTATTTTTTAAAGAGTACAAAATGGTAAAAAAAATTAGCAAAGATACAAAATTTCACTAAACAAAGTAATAGCAATTCAACATTGGTTACTGTATTGTATAATGTTATCTTCAAATTAATTGTTTAACCTTCAAAATTGGTAAAAAATAAATAAAAGTTGTAAGAAATTAAAAAGAAAAAAAAATTAAGCATGAACGGTTCCTTTCAATAGACCAGCAGAAATCAACAGTGCAATTATCCCAACTCTCCTGCATATACACATCAGTGTATCTGTTTCCCTTCTTTCTCTTGCCCTTTTCCTCATTCTAGTTTTCTCTCCAACTGAACGGTATCTATGTGCCTTTCAGATGCTACTTATTTACTCTTTCTGGTTCTCACATTAGCAAAACAATATGATGTTTGCACCTGCAGGCCATGTGAAGTCATATCTTGTACATAACTACAAGTTTTCATGAATGTATTATTTCTTCCAGACCTCTTCACTGTATACATTCCCTTCACAGTTTTTTCCTCTTAAACTACAGTTGCATTCATATAGTTTCTTATGAACCTATTTCCTTTTTTTGGCGGAACCAGGGATTGAACTCAGATCCTTGCGCTTGCGAGTCAAGCACTTATCCTACTGAGCCATCTCCCTGGCCCCATGAACCTATTTCTTATAGATAAGAAAACATATACAAGTGGCAAATTCCCAAGGCTACACGAGAACATAAATGTAAAGTTACATTTTCTCTCCACACACAGCTGTCCACCCCAGGAACCACTCTTAAAATTTATACTTCAGGCAGGTTAAATAGCTACAAATAACATTGTCAAAAATGTGTGCCCTAGGTTTTCAATTTTATAGGAACTTATTAATTTCTATAAGTAAAAGCATTCATAAAAATTATTTTTAAGTGATAAAAAACATTTCACTAAGTTGACAGAATGCTTTACCAAAGCATTCTACTACTGCCAAAAATTGAGGTATTCAAAACCAACACAATATCCTTTAAGTTCAAAGCTAAAATTAGACATCTATAGACAAAGAAATGACCGTTGACCTAAATTTCACATTGAATGTACCAAATCTACTCAAAACGGATCATCTATCTAGTCTGTCTGTCCATCTATTTTAGAATAATATAAATAAATATGGGGTTAGGTAAAGAGTTCTTAGATATAATCCAAAAGTATAATAAATAAATATGACAAACTTGGCTTTATCAAAACAATAAAAACCTGCTTTGTTAAAGAACATTACAAGAAGCTGAAAACTAGTCACAGATTGGAAGAAATCATGTTTGCAACGTATATAACTGGCAAGCTGAATGCTGAGGATATGATGTGGAAGTAAAACGAGCTAGCCACAACGGGACAGGCATCGTGTGCTCCTGTGTACCAAGGTCCTCAGGGTGGCCGGAGTCACAGAGTGGAGGAGCATACTGGCTTCAAGGGCTAAGAACTGAGGACAAGGCAAGCTGGTACTGAAGGGGAAGTTTCAGTTTGTGAAGACGGAAAAGATCTAGAGCCCTATTACACAGCAACATGAATATATTTGACACTGAAGTGTTTATTCAAAAAAAGTCTATTAAAAAAAAAAAAAAACCAACACCTGAAACACATACCTTGTAAAGGAATTCTAGTCGAAATACATAAAGAACCCTATAAAATCAACACTACGAAGAACATGTAATTTCGTTAGAAAACGGGCCAAAACCCTAATGAACAGCTATTCCACCACAGAGAAGATGCGGAGGGCAGAGAAGCGTGAGAAGACGCGCAGCGTCTTTAGCAAAGCCTTCCTGTACTGTATGCCGGTTGAAGTTTTCATTTCTTTTTCACTTTCTGAGGCAGGGTCTCACCATGTTGTCCAGGCTGGTCCTGAACTCATGGAGATCTTTCTTTTTTTTTTTTTTTCTCCGAATGCCTTCAGGGCAGGTTTGGCTGGCTTGAGTTATGGAGATCCAACCACAGCAACCTGAGCCTGACTGCTTTGTTGAAGCAGCCACTTAAAGAGCTGAGGTAAGGGGCAGGCCCCCTCATGGAGATCCTTCTGCCTCAGCCTCCTGAATGGTGGGTTTCAGGCTTGCACGACCATGTCTAGTGAGGCTTAATTTTTTTTGTGGTACTGGGGATCGAACTGGGGACCTTGCATTTTCTAGGCAGGCACTTAAGCCACTGAGCTCCCTCTCCCACCTGAGGCTTATTTTTAAAAAACGTATGTGATATAGGGTCTACAAGGGTCTTACTACACAGATCTGACTTGTGATTCTCTCGTTTTCAGCCTCAGAAGCACTGGGGTACAGGTGCACACCACCATGACCAGTCTCAATTGCCATCTCAGCATGCTGTGGGGGCGGGGCCGGCACTGCAGGCTGGGGAATCGAACCCCAGCCTCTGTATCTGCATAAGCAGGCACTGTAATCCACTGAGCTATCTGGCCAGCCCGGCTTATTGTTTTTAAATACATTTTTCAAAACTTTATGATACTGTCAGAAAGAATGTGCAACCACCAGCACTTCCGAGCTGGTGACCAAAAACTTCCTAACCATCACGAGTCTCACAAGGTTGTAGGAGGAGAGTTTTATTTGTTGTCGGTGAAAATTTAAAGTGGTACAGCTATCCTGGAACACAGTTTGTCAATTCTTGCAAAACTACCAGCCTCAGGCAGTCATGGAGCAGCTTCTGGAGTTTGTGAGTGATTACTGTAGGCATGGGTGCTGCGCCTGCCCTGGGGCAGGTAATTTATATTACAACCTAAGGAGGGAAGAGAGGTGCTAGTTGCCTGAGCTGCTGCCACTCCTTTCTCTCTCTCTCTGGCTCTCAGACAAGTGCCGCTCTGCCTTGGAGCCAGCTGAGTATGGACAGAAACCTCCAGTAACTGTGAGCTAAATAAACCTCTCCTTCTTTCATTTTGAGTGTTGGGTATTTGTCCCAGCAACGAGAGAAGAGTAACTGAGAGAGAGTCCCTACACTAGAAATAATCCCAGTGCACTTTGGTAAACAAGTGGATAAATTCTGGTATATTCATAGAACAAAAACAAAACTGGGGCTGGGGAGATGGCTCAGTAGAATAAGCACTTGCCTGGCAAGCAGAAAGGTCTGAGTTCAATCCCCCGTTCCGCCAGAAAAAAAAAAAAAAAAAAACTAACCAATCCAAAAAGAACAAATAACTAATACATGCTACAACTTAAATGGCCCCCAAAAAAGCTCCTGAAATACAAAGATTGACCGAATATAAGCCAGTATCATTAAGTGATTATGTGTCAAAACACCCTTATAAATCTTTATTTTTACTTGTATAAGTAAAATAAAGATTTCAAATCTGAGAGGAGAGACTTTCTCCTCTTAAATTCTGTAGAGGTAGAACTCTGATTTTCAGAGTTGTTACATATCCTGTTTAAAATGTCCAGTTTTCAACAAAATATTATGAGATGTTTAAAGAAATGAAGTATGGCCCATACACAGGAAAAACCAACCAACAGTTACCAATGAATCACAGATGTTAGACAAAAGAATCTAAATCACTTATTTAAAATGTTTCCTGGGGGACACAGCACACACCTGTAATTCCGGCATTTGAGAGACTGCTGCAAAATTGAGGCCAGCCTGGGCTACACAGTGAGTTCAAGGCCAAGCCTGAACTACATGGTAAGACCCTGTCTCACAAAAAAAAAAAAAAAAAAAAAAAAGGAACTACAGGACAGAAATTATAAAAAGGATCAAACAGAAATTCTGGAGATGAAAAGTGAAGCCCAAATGCTGATAGGAAAAATATCACCTGAATGGTACAAGAGATGAGTTTGAAGACGGGTCAAATGAGGGTATCTGGTACGGGAAACAGATGGAATTGTGAGGAAAAATAAACGGGCTCTGGGAATACTACATTTACATTATAGAAGCTGAAGAGAGTGGAAAGGCTAACACAAATAAAGATACTATTTGAAAAATGATCTCCTAAATCCCACCCCCATCCTACCTTCTTTTTTGTGGCGACTGGGATCAAATCCAGGGCCTCTAAGCCAAATGTCTAACTTCTAAATCTGTAACCCAAATGTTTAACGAGTTCCATGTGGGGTAAACTGAAAGAAACCCACACCTGGTCATGTCACAATTAAACTGCCACAATGTGGCACAAAGTACTTTAAAATCTCTTTGTGGGCAGGGTGGCGCTGCGTATGGAACCCAGAGCCTGCACTCTGCTACCCCTGCCCTCTGCCACACCCGCGTGAGGCTGTGGGGGCGCACGGGCAGCCTCCGAGCTTCCGTGCCGTCACCCTGACCCCGCCTTCATGGTTCCAGTATTCTCCCGCTACTCTGTCTAAGTATCCATTCGTATAAGACTACCGGCAAACTGGGCGAGGGGCCCATTCTGCTTCGGAATCGCCTCACCTTAACTGATGATAGCCGCAATGCCCTTACACTCTGCGTGCTGGGGGTTACGGCTGCAATAACGGAACCCGGAGGGGGCACAGTTCAAGCTATAACAAGGCCATGGGTTTTATTTTTGTTTTGTTTTTCTTTTGCCCTCCCCACTTCTATCTTTATTCCCTATACTGCTAGCTGTAGTTTTTACTCTGCCTTTATTCTGTGGTACTGTCTAGTCAGCTCATGTGTTATCTCTGTGTTTTGCCCTTTACTCTGGGAGTCTTCACGTTTCGTTTTTGTGTTTTCCTTCATAGATGTGTGGTTACTTTATTAAGTTTAAATTCATGGTGGAATGTTTTATTGTAAACGTCATCTGTCCTCTGTGCATGATTTGGTGAACTCATGGTACTTTGTTACACTTTTCTCACACTTTAGTTATCTTCATATGAAACTTTCTATTATTACTCATCAGTAAGTATGTTCTTGTACTAACCCGCAAAGCAACAACTTGTATGTACCCTGCCTCTGAGTTGTGGCCCCTGCTCTTTCCTCTGCCTGAGCATGTGGCATATTCTTTTATGCTTCTTAAACTTCTGCCCAGAAAAGCCTCTCTGAATACTGTCACTTTCTCCCTTCATTGCTTGCTCCTTTTACAATACTTTTTCCCCTCATACTTTCCTTGCTTCTCTCCACTGTACAGAAAGTAAAGTTGGACAGAATGGAGACTGGGCCATTTTAGTCACTGAAGTATTACCTCAGATTCCACAATGATGACTGTCCTCCCTGACACAAACATGACATTCATAAATTTTCTCCCTAAACGAAGTCTTATGAGGAATTGGATTTATTATTATTAAGTAAAAATATAAGATGTTACCCTAATTAGCAAGGTTCGTTTTTTTGGTACCAGCACTCAAACTCAGGACCTTGTGCTTGCCAGGCAGGCGCTGCACTGCCCCAGTAATACTCTTTTTTAAAAATTTTATCAAATTACTGGTGCATATCTATAAAATCAGCTACTCAGGACTCTGAGGTAGGAAGATTACTTCAGCCTAAGAGTTCAAGGCTAGCTTGGGGAACCACTGTGAGACTCACTGCAAAAGCAAAAAAAAAAAAAAAAAAAAAACAACCAACCAAACAAAAAAAAAAACTCCCAAAACAGCAATCTAATGTGTATGAAGAAAAAGCTGTGCAAAGATACTAAAATGTTACCAATCAGTATCACTCTGCAGGGTGGGATAACAAGGTTTTTTTCCGGTACTGGGGTTTGAACTTGGGACCTTGTGCTTGCAAGGCAGGTGCTTATGCCATTGAGCTATATCCCCATACCCCAGAATAATGATTTTGACTTTATATTCTTTATATATTCTGAGTATGTATGACCTTTTGTGGTAGTTAACGATTGTGTCAACTTGAGTAGGAAATGCCCAACTGATACACTTAGCATAGCTCTGGGTGTGACTAAGGGATTTGCTGAAGAAGACCTACCCTAGTTATGAGTGGCACCAACCAACAGGCTTTTTGCCTGAATAGAATAAAAAGGGAAAAAGGAAGGAAGGCTCGCTACTGCTTCTTTGGAGGAGTGCCAGTATTCATCTTCGGTTTGTTTTTTTTAAATCACTGTTTAATTTTTAACTTATTTAATACAGGGTCTTGCTACATAGTGCAGACCCGTAGCAATCTTCCTGTCCCAGCCTCCCTAGCGCTGGGATTACAGGTGTGTGCCACTATGCCTGGTTTTGGGGCCACCATGGTTCCAGAACCGGTATGGCATGCAGTACTGGGGACTGAACTCAGGTCCTTGCACTCGCCAGGCAGGAGCTTATGCCGCTGAGTTATCTCCCCAGCCCCTTTACTTTCACTTTGGATGTTATCTCTGGCTTCTAGGATAGACTCACTAACCTCCCGCAGAGACCCTTCGCCTTCCTGACGTGGACTCAAACCAGACAATACAGTGAGCTCCAGGCCCTTGATTTTTAGTTGGATCCTTTAGCTCTCTAGCACACAGACAGCCCTTTTGCATTCTACACTTGACTCTGCAGGTGGCCACTGTAAGCCTACCTAGTACATTCACATCATATTACGTGCACACACATATATATCACATATATATTCTCATATTAAATCTGTTTCTCTTGTGAGCACTGACAACATCTCTTTTTATTTTTAAAATTGTATTAATTTTATGTACTTTCTTGGTACTGGGGATTAAATCCAGAGTTTCACGCATGAGAATCAAGCGTTTTACTGACCTACATCCCCAGCTTCAATGTTCTTTATTGTTTTGGAAGCAGGGTCTGATGCTGTAGCCCAGACTGGTCTCAGATAACACAGGACACGACCGAATGGGCCAGACAACACTAGAAGCTCACATAGCCTACCTGCCCCTCAGTAATGAATGGGAACCACACACTACCACACCCGCCTTTTTCATACTTCGAGTTTATGTATTTGGTATAGGGTCTCACTACGCAGCTTGGCCTCATTGTGATCCTTCTGTTTTCAGCCTATTCAGCGCTTATGAAGTATTTCTGACAGTAATTAACAACTGGGTATTTCAGGAAGGATCTACACTAAGTGCATCATCTTGTTTAAAAATATGAGAATTCTATGAGGCAAGTATTGTTAAATATATGCACTTATTTATTTGTTTTTTTTGATACGGGGTCTTGCTACACAGTTTGGTCTTATAATGATCTTCCTGTCTCAGCTTCCTAAGCTCTGTGGTTGCAGGCATGTGCCACCATGCCCGGTTTCAGTGGCAGGCATGGCATGTGGTACTGCGGACTGAACTCAGGTCCTTGTGCTGGCCAGGCAGGCACTTACACTTCCGAGCTACCTCTCCAGCCCTACATGTGCACTTTTAATCTCAGCACTTGGAAAGCTAAGGCAGGAAGATTGCTGGGAATTTGAGGCCAGCCTGGACTACACAGGGAGTTCATGGTCAGCCTGAACTATACAGCAAGATCCTATCTTATAAAACAAAGCAAACAAACAAACATACTCACTCATAAATGATGCAAGAGGGGACCAAAGAGGTTGAGAAATATTTCCAGGTCATACAGTCAGAAAAAGCATATAAAAGGCATGCACACAGGAAACTTATGTGAAATTGGGCACATTTACAAGACGTTCCTCTAAACTGATGTGTAAATGAAAGAGTGGTAGAAATACTTCAGTGCTCACCCTGCAGGCCTTGGTGACCCAGACGTGCTTCGCATCGAGCTCTCCACTCGAGGACTGGCCACTTCAGGAGGCTGGGGAGGAATGAGGGTTTTCCGCACTGCCATTCTGAAAGATGAGACAAACCCAGAAATCAGCAGTCTAAGGGTATAAGACACACATTTGCCAGGCAAACATACTGCAAAATACAGGGAATGAATCGATGAGGTAGTCTGTAGATGGATTTTTATTATATCAAATAGCACAGGGGCATCACCGAGACAGCCAAAGAATACTAAAGGGCTTGAGTAAATGTTCAAGTTCAGACTCCTTTCCTGCTGTCTTTCTGTCTCTCCCTTCAGAAGCAACCACTGGCTTTTAGCTCCTGTTTCCAGTGTTCCACACCTGCTTTCTACCTGATGTTATTAAAATTGAAACTGCTATCAACTGCTCACAACTCTTATGGTGTCTATGTGTTGCCATAGACCTGAGCAAGTTCTCAGAAGTGAAGTGAATAAAGTTCTCAAAGAATGAGTGATCAACTGTGTCACACAGCAGAGGCCAATGGCTCTGACTGATAATCTACAACTGGGCTGGCAATGTGGATGTCACCAGTGCTGTTGCTATGTTTCATTACAATAGAGAGTGGGGAACAAATGCCAGATGAGAATGGGTCTGAGGAAATGGTGAGACCAGGATATGTCACTTTCAGAACCCTTCCATAAACAGTATCTAATAGAGATCCGATGTCCCCTGATAGAAGACTAAGTCACTCAACTAAAAAGAAGTCCTCGCTTAGCCAGGTGTGGTGGCACACACCTGTAATCCCAGCACTTGGGAGGCTGAGGCAGGAGGATTGTTGCAGATTAAAGATCAGTCTGTGCTACAAAGTAAACTCAAGGCCAGTTTGAACTGCGTAGGGAAACCCTGTTTCAAAAAGGAAAAAAAAAAAAAGTCCTCTTACAGAAGCAAAAAATTCACTGTTTAGATTCAAGTACAAAGAATGCCAGATAGGAGAACAAATGAAACCACACTAGAAATGAATTCCCTGTAAGGTCACCTGTGAATGCGATCTTACTTAAAAATAGGGTTTCTGGGGCTGGTGAGATGGCTCAGTGGTCTAAAGCACCTACTTAGAACAAGCTTAGCAAAGCACAGGGAC